TCAGAAAGAAATCACATGCGGTAATAGTCCTCAACTTTCAGTCTCATCACAACTACACATTAAATATAGGAATAATTAGGAGCTTCCCCATCAGAAGCTTAAGGCCAACAAGCATGGAATTTTAGGGTGGAATTCATACAGAGAAATATAGGGGTCATCAGGAGAGGATATCAACTTGGATATTATGGAATAACAATCAGGAATCCGGAGGACAAACAAAAGTGGATATGCATGTCCTCCTGTAAACTGAGCCAAAAATTGTAACCGTTAATATAAATAAGGAATATCAATGTGATAACAAAGGAAAAGACAACACTCTTCACCGAAGCAACACGAGAAGGTTGACTAACTGTAGTGCTCGGAAGGTTATCGCATAATATGCGGCAACTGTACGCAGAAGAATATTGGCGAAACAGTAAGAAAAATCAGCCTACGAATCAAGGAACACCAAAGACTCTGCGGAAACATGGATACATAAAGATCCCAATAGCACGGAAATGGCAGGAAATCGATTGAAAATCGACAGAAAAGCTAAACGCATATAGTTTAGCTAAAAGATAATGCAAGTTACGAGATGCCCTCGATATCCTGACTTTAAGAAATCTAATGCATAGGGGACTTGAAGAAGGCAAGATTAGCGAAATATTTGCATATTGTCTAAGCAAACTCGAAAAAGATCAGGGAATAGCAAGATCAGCAGAAATAACGGAATTAGATCAAGAAAATATTTTCAATTTGCGCAAAAGAAATCACAAGGTGAATACAGAGGAACTATTGTAAACGAAGAATGGACGTCTACAATGAGCCTAAGTAAAGTCAATCCAACAAATATAACATTTAAGATTCGGCACAAAAGAGGCTAGAAAATAAGAAGGTCATTGACCTAACATTATGGAGAGAGGAGTGAGAGATGCAGAGAGAGAGAGAGAGAACATATATAGTTTGGTATTAGTAGTAGAGTATGATTATAGACGTCGTCCATGAAGTAAAGGCTTGACCACGAGATTTACTCGTTGCATATGCCTCACAGTAATAACAGAATCTGCATCGTCAAGTTAGTTTTGCATGCTACCTAAGAATCCAGACTTTGGAGGCCTGCTCAGTGAGGCTGGGGTATACCTGTTATTAGAGGCTTGTGGCAGAGTGTAGAACATAATGCCTTGAGTGGCACGGATATGGTGGCAGTGATCGAGTGAAATCACTGAACCAGCCAGATATGAAACGTACCCTACGGAGCAAGAGGGAAACTTTGATATAACCTGGAGAATGAAGCTTGTGGATAAAACGGCAGTCTTATATCAACACACCCAACACGATGAGGTGGATAAGGATAGCAGGGGGAATATGAATAGCTCTCATTCAATACGGTCTTAAGAGCAAATCTCAATAAAGTTTAGACAAACAAGTAAAAAACTGTGATAGTAAATTGGTGCTAAGAGGATAAAGGATTGGAGAATATATCAGGATAAAAAAGGGAGATACCACAACGGTTTAGCAAACAATCGGTCAGAGAATCGACTTCACTTGTCTCTTTGACAAGTTGTAGTGTGGTACTAGGAATGGTAAGGCTTACTGACGATGCCGGTGAAACTTCTGGCAGTGAACCAAGTCCACGGTCCGACTCGGCAAATTATCATGCATACTATGGACTCCAGACAAGGTGTTTTCCTTTATATCTTCCTGCCAATATGACCATTCTGTGAAAACCAGGTCAAGCAACTTCTAAAGACGTATATTTGAATTTTAACCCAAAGGTCGAGTGAAAGGCAATGTCATTGTCAAGCCTACCTATTTATTTTGTGGAAAACTTAATTATCACCTGGCAACATATAGTAGCTATTTTTCATATATAAGCAGCTTTTCGACACTACCAATAGATCATATATATGAGGAGTATTCACTCTATTTCTTTTAAGCTGGTAATGAGACTGGTAGTTGAATTTTACCACCATGATATGAGATGCCCTTACGTTTCTTTTAAAATTCGCATAGCCTTACTTTGCCATAATGTATCCTTATCCAAAGAAAACCTTAGGTCTACTCATAGCATTGTGGGAAAATTCAACTTTAAACGAAATAGGGTAAACATAATTTATGTATAGGGTGACTATGTTCTTATCCGAGAATTAATGTTGTTATCGAAAACTACTCAAATTGAACATTAATAAAGCCTCCTCATTATATTATGGCCAAAATCGCATTAAATGTCCATTAAGAGGCTAATCTAATCAAAAATACATTATCTAGTTTCTTTAGAATGATTCAGTTAGATTTCTTCAACTCCTCCAACCTTTCGAGTTTATCTTTAAGTATGCAATTATGTTATTCTTAGCATTTTTATATCATGCGTACATTTAAGTTAGAAACGGTGCTGTTTATTACTTTATAGGCCTATTTTATTTTCAATTTCCAAATACCAAATTATTATTTATCTTCTTAGGATAACATTCGAATAGGCAATATATATTTCGTGGGAAAATACAATTGCAATAAATAAATTTGCAAAGTTGCGAGAACTTGATAGAATACATTTTTCAAATAAAAGATATTGCATTACTGGTGTCTAATCAAATGAGCATTTATTCAGTATTTCTAAAAATATTTCGAGGCCTACCTTGACCGGGACTGATGGCAGTTGCCAGAATAGGACGCTTATTGTCATCTGGACTTGCATGATTCAAACTACCGTTACTAGTATTCTTGATCATATGGCGAACTGCAGTCGAGCTTGGAAAGTAGATGCCCACTGTTTGAGTACCAGAGTTGGCCTTTTGTATATATGGCGGCGCCATGTTGCACACTTCATTGCTAAGTGGATCAGCTCTGTTTAACCTCCACGGAGCATCGGCCGGCGTGTAAGGTACTGAATAAATTTTTCAAAGCCAAATGACAAGAATAAATTGAAGGTAAAAAATTTTTAATAATGTGAAGAATAAGCGCATTTTTTCTCTTTTAACGCTTATAGCTTTTGAATTCAAACACGTTTTAGCCTATTTGCATGCAATCCCCATAAAATAATTGGCAAAGTAACCAAGAAGTGATGCCATTTTCTTATCTATATTTAGCAACTAGATCCATAAACAAATATAAAGGAAGAACTTCCTGCCAGTGACAACTAATTTCTTCCTATGGCAATACCCTTTTTAATCGTTTCCTGTAATTTAATCAGGCGGCAGCTCATTACTCCTTTAAAGCCATATTTCCCTGTGAGACATCAATTATTTGGAGCTATAGCCGGATATGGCAAGTATTACTAAGGGAGAAAATCTTTTATATTAGGATAAGTGAAAAGCGGGAAGGGACTTATTGAAAATAGCTGCAAACGTTGATTATTTTACGAAGACATGAAACGTATAAATGAAGAACAAATGCATGTTTTCTCTAACAAAAAAGAAGCAAATTGACTTTCCGAATAAACTGCTAAAATACGTTCTTATTTTTAAGAAAGTAGCCTCTTCCAAGGTTTGACATACTGGCTGGTGGCTGCAGGGCCGCCCAATTTTCGAATGCATTTTGTGGCTTTGGCAGTGACAATGTCTTTGTCGAAGGAGCCGATACATAAGTTGTATGTCCAGTCTCATGTAATGCAGATAAAGTAGTTGGGGTCCACTGAGGAGGTGTTTGCTGCTTTTGTTGTCCACTCAACAGAGATTGTGTAATGTAGCTATTTCGCAAGGAAGGGAGACTAGCCTCGCACGTGAGACAAAAGGAGAAGTGTACTGGGTTTATGCAACCGCACACAGTACAAACGCGACTTCTGCCGTCCGTCTGGGCGTTTATTCCAGACTCCGAAACCTAGGTTGCATGAGTAAGATAATTTTAATAACGCGAGCTCAATAAAGATGATTTTTAAATCTTTTTACTTTATAGAGAAATCAAGTGTAAAAAAAGCAAAGGGTGATAATAAAAAAATAATAAGTAAATAAAATTTTAAGAAGGTCCTGTAACTAATTTTAAAAATTTTTATCGTATAAAGCTTGTGATAGGAAGTATGCGGGGAGGTGTATATGAAAGTAAGAACATAGTCCCTCCAGGTCGATCAAGGTAATTTAAAGATCTATAGTTGAATTTTTCCCACAATAATATCAATAAATCTTATGACGCCATAAAGCCTTGTCTTCCGAAATGTAGAATGAAGTTTCGAATACGCCTAGATATCACCAGCTCATCAACAGAATCCAATACCTGATCGTGACCATCGCGGGAACGTACAATTTCACTGGACAGTG